ATTTGTATGTTCTTTATGATTACTGGGTACGACCCAATGTCGGGCGGGGCCCGAAGGCTAGTATGTATGTTATTTAACTCTGTGATTATAACATGTGTTGTATGTTTATATGTTTGTACTGGGCGGGGTCTGATGACTGACAGGTCTGTTTACAGAGCGGGGCTCGATGCCGGACGAGGTCCGATGTCGGGCGGGGCTCATTATGTGATTTTATGTATGTGTGGTATGAGGTATCTTGGGGAACTCACTAAGCTTTATGCTTACGGTTTTCCGTTTATGTTTCAGGTACTTTGGTTTTCAAATGGAAGAGCTCGAGATGATTGCAGAGCACACACCACATATTTCCGCACTCTGTGATTTACTCTGATTCGATGATGTTTTGCTAAATATTGGTTACCTTGGTTTTATGGAAATGATATGTATTAACAATTTTTTGATCTAATAACAAAAAAACTTATGTCATTATTTTTGGGACATTACAAGTTGGTATTAGAGCCTTGGTTTGAGGGATTCGGACATACTCTCGGGTGTGCCTGAACTCAAACTGAGGATTTGGTAAAGTTTTCAAAAAGAAAAGTATTTTTAAGAAAAGAGTTTTCTAAGATAAGAAAGGGTGTCGTGCATGCAATCAACCGAGCTCAAGTAAGTTTCTCCCAAAATACCCATACATGTTATTTGGTATGATTTGATTTATGAATCTATGAATCGCATGTTAATTAGGGCTAAGGATCTGCTCAGTTTTTGCATGGTTGAATGCTAGGAGAGATGCCTTTGTATGCATGTTGTTTGAGCTTGTAGACTTGCATGCTAGTTCTGATTAGCCAGTGATAGGTTGGCCTGATATGTGATGCTTGGTAGCCTAGGAAGCATGGGATGCTGGTTTGGGTATAATTTTTATGCGTAAGGCAATCAGTAGCGGGAGTGGGAGCTCCTAGTTTGGGTTGTAGTATGTGGGATTGGATGCTTGTGATTATTTGGTGGATTGGAGTGCTATTGCACAAATGTTGCTTTCTTTGTGCTTTGTGGAACTCTTAGGTGATGGGAGTTAGCTACTAAGTGAATATGTCAAGTCACATGTGGCAAAGGTTGAATAATCTCAAAGTGATGGATTTAACCCCACTTGTAACATCCCAAAAATCGAGACCATTTTTTTTCCGTTTTTAATTATATTACTTGTAAAATTGTTTAAGAAAAACATTACTGATATCATATGAATTCATAAACCATAGTTACATGTCTCAAAACCATATCATCAAATAGTAATAATGTCAGAGTATAATCCTAGAAATCTCAAATGCGGAATCATGTGTGTGCGATGCGCTGCTACCCCGCCGACTCCTTCCCCTTAGACGAAGAGGTACCTGACACCAAAACTAAAAACTATAAGCACGAAGCTTAGTGAGTTCCCCCATCATACCACATAATAGTGCCTATTCCTTGGTATCTTTCAACCGGTACCCGGGAACTATCCTCCCCTTCGGTATCTTTCAACCGGTAACCGAGACCTATCCTCTCCTTCGGTATCTTTCAACCGGTAACCGGGAGCTAACCTCCCCCTCGGTATCTTTCAACCGGTAACCTGAGACTATTTCACCGCCTACCGCTATCTCATAATAATGTAACATAATAATACGGCCAGGCATGCATAGGTACTATCCACCCCTTCGGTATCTTTCAACCGGTAACCGGGGACTATCCCACCCCTATCAATACTACACATATATCATAGCATCCTAGCACATAATAACATACTCAACAGGCCAGACGATTATCACAAAGACAATCATCTTTACTATGTACCACTGCTAATGGGTCGACCTTGGCGCATTTCTACTAGAAGGTAACTTACCTCGATGTCGTGTAGTGTCTGCACTGTCCTCGATGTGAAAGTCGACTCTCCTCGACTCCTTAATCCCTACACGACAACTTTTCTAAGTTATTAATTCATACTCATAACCCTTACAAGGGTCACTCAAGTCCAAGTCAAAGTCAAGGTCAAAACCCTGGTCAAGGTCAACTTTGGTCAAAGTCAACATCTGGTTGACTCGACTCGCCGAGTTGGTTCGCCAACTCGCCGAGTCCCCATGACCACAAAAGCTACAACCCGTCCCTACTCGTCGAGTCTAGCAAGAGCTCGACGAGTTCGCCTTCAACAACACATCGAACCTTCTTCAACCGACTCACCGAGTTCATCCTTGAACTCGCCGAGTTCATCCTTGAACTCGTCGAGTTCATCTTCATCCGCATGGATGAGTTCAGCCTATGACTCGCCGAGTTCCCCCCTGAACTCGTCGAGTCTGTCTTCATGTGGTTGGGACATTGCCTTGAACTTGCCGAGTTCCTCCTTGAACTCGTCGAGTCCTTTGATCTTCAAGTCCATAACAAACCCCTAACAGGCTGAGTGTTCCTTCCACTCAACCAAAGACCATTCCCAGAATACATTTGGGGGAAAATGCGACCCGACTCGCCGAGTCACCCAAACAACTCGCTGAGCCCCTTTTTGTCCAAAACTATTCAGTCGATTATAATGGGTCTTAGTGCATCAAAACCATAGATCTGACCTCCTAGGGTCCATTTTATACGTAAAGTACTAATCTTGGTGTCCATTAATGGGGTTTTTGGCTCAAAAAGCCATAAAAAGAGGTATATAAGAAGCATGGGTCTCCCATGGCCATAAAATAGGCACCTTTATGCCATGTGAACCCTCAATGGTTCCAGATCTGAAGTGTAACTCCAAACACACTCACAAAATCCGATTATAACTTCACCAACTCATGAAAAGGGTAGAAAATAGCCCCAAAAAAAGATCTAAGAGATAGATGGTCAAGGTTCAAGCTTTTTACATTGAATGAACTAAGAATGAAGCAAAACCTCTGGATCTATTAGCTTCCACTTGAACTCCTAAGCTTCCTTCTTCTCTTCCAACTTCAAATGCACACAAAAGTCCCAAAAAGCTCAAGAATACTCAAAAGAGGCTTAGGGTTCGAGTTAGGGCTTTCTCTGGGTTGGGAGGAACAATGGAGGATGGGTTGGGGCGTTATAAGTTGTTTAAATAAGGTGCAAACCCCAAATATTAGGGTTTCATCTAGACAGTCCTACTCGTCGAGTCGGTCTCCCGACTCGTCTAGTAGGTCACTTATCCCACCGATCCATAGTCGAGTCTACTTGATGAGTTGGGCCTCCAACTCGCCGAGTCCCAGAGCAAAACATGAGTTTACTTTAATTAAAATACTTACCAGGAACCGAGTGTTACACTATTGTGCAACTCTTTTCTGAGTCCAACCGTTGTAGGGATGAGTCTGTCACTCAAAGGATTATCTAATCTTTGTTGCACGTGATTGCATTTATGAGGTGGGTAACTAGCATTATGGGGAGTTCTTCAGCAGCTGATGGCAGGGTGAGATCGGGAACCTAGGAAGCCTAGGGATTGCTTCGGTGGGTCTTGTTGTGTGGGGTTGCGAGTGTTTGATGTATGGGTTTGAGAATGTGACTTAGAGGATTCCAGAGGATTCTTGAGGAAAATATGGGTAGGTGTTGAAGGTAGTATTGGGCCCATACTACTGAAAGCACATGATCCATACTCAAATTGGGAAGAGTCTTGGAGAATCTAGGAAGCCCGTGGGATGAGGATTCTTGAGTATATTCGAATCTTTTACATGTTGTTTCGGTATGGTGTTGAGCACTAAGGAATGGGGTTCAAATTTTGGTTCCGGGTCAGGAGCAGGTACTGAGGCGATCGATGTGCGGTCGTGGGAGTTCATCTCATCGTAGATTACTCGCGGTGTTTTGGAATGGACCTCGGTGTTTTTGGGTTCAGCCAAGGAAGGGATTTTGGAGCTCTTTGATGGTCATCCCGGGACCTTTCAGTTCGAGATTGTAGCGGGGCATTTGGGGGCTTATCTGGAGCCCAAAGCTTGTGGATCCCTAGAATCCTTCAGGAAGGAGGATCCTGGTGTTAGTTCTTGTCTTGTGGGATCAGAGGGGAGTTCTCTACCATGTCCTCAAGGTGGTCAGGGTAACTCGGGAGGAGGAAGTCAGGATTCCTTCAGATGTTTTTGCGGGTATGTTACCTTCTGTTTTCTTTTGGGTTGTTGTCAGGAATATGTATTGCGTTGGAATTTTGTTTGGGTTTGAGTAAGTTATATCTCGGGTTGATTTTCTGCTATTATCTGGGTTATATTATCAAGGATTGTGATATGCCATTTTGCATTCTGAAAGTTTTCAATGAATCAGTAGTGGGTCGTATCTTGCTAAGTGGGTTTCAGCGTGTTCAGTTGTTGTTCCGAGTTTTGTCAGGATCAATGCTAGGGTATTGTTTGGAGGATCCTTGGCCAGGGTTTAGTTGTTCCATCTTGTGATCTGGTGGGATTGGCAGTCGTCTATGGATGAGAGATGGGATGGTGACCGATGGGACCCATATTAAATTTCTCAAATGTGGTTTCAGGTTTAGGGTGAAGAGATACAAATATGTAAGGTCTATTAATTTTTTCAAATATATAGAAAATAAATACATAAATAAGAAAATTAATTAAAAATAAATTAGTAAGGGCATAATAGTCCTTTTAGGTAAGCCAGAGACCAAACACACAACAAAAATAAACAGTATGGACCATCCGAATTAAAAAAAAATAAGTAGAGACCAAACACACAAATTCTTCCAAACCACATGGACCATTTGTGTAATTTACTCTTACTTTTTGTTTTGTTCTATTTTATTTATTATTATTTTTTTCACATCACTTGTTGAAAAGTGAAAAGTTCAATAATTAGATGTATAAAAAAATAATAATTACTCAGAACAAATTGAACAGATTAATTACCTTAATAATTCCCTTAGACATATTTATTATTTATTTCTCAACATTATAATACAAGTTAAAACAACCTTTCACGAATGGTATCCATAGACCCCCATTTCCCCATTTCTCTCTCATCTCCTTCGTCCATACATTACTAGCAATAGTGTTGAGTGATATTTTCTCGATCCTCTCTCTGCAACAATGGTGAAAACCGCAGCGAATAAGCAAAAGCCGGCCAAGAAACCATTAAACGCCAACAAAAAGAAGTTCGTAAAGACAAAGAAGAAGAAAAATGTTGCAGAAAAATCGATCATCTCAAACACATCAGCTAATCAAGCTGCCGAGACATCTTCGGATTCTGATGTGGAAGAAAACTCACCTGAACAGATCCAGAAGCTCATCGAACCATACACTAAGGACCAGTTAATCGAAATCCTCATCAACGCCGCCATAGCAAACCCTTCGCTTTACACCCGAATTCGTGACGCCGCCGACAGTGACGAGTCCCACCGGAAGATCTTCGTCTACGGCCTTGGCTGGGACACTACTAAGGAAACCCTAACTCTCGCCTTCCAACCGTACGGCGAAATCGAGGATTGTAACGTCGTCATTGACCGTGTCACTGGGAAAGCAAAGGGCTTTGGGTTCGTTCAATTTAGGTCACGGAAAGGGGCAATGAAAGCTCTCAAAGAACCAAAGAAGAAAATTAACAACCGAATGGCGTCGTGTCAGTTGGCGTCATTAGGGTCTGCAATTGCCGGCTCCACGGACAACTCCAGTAGGAAGATTTATGTTAGTAACGTTCAACCCGATGCCGATGCAGAGCGACTACGAGCATTCTTCTCCAAATTTGGGGAAATCGAGACAGGTCCATTAGGGTTTAATTCATCAACAGGAAAGTCACGTGGCTTTGCTTTGTTTGTGTATAAGACTCAAGAAGGGTTTAGAAAGGCTTTAGAAGAGCCTTACAAGGTATTCGAGGGACATAAATTGCATTGCCAGAAGGCAGCCGACGGGAAAAACAAGGGAGTTGCAACTTCAGCTCCGGCGACTGTAACCACACCTGTTGTCCAACAACCCACCCCGCAAATGATGGCTGCTGTTGCTGCTACTCAAAATTTTGGAATGTTCAATCAGTCTCTGGGATTGAACCCTATGTATGGAGGTTTGTTTTCAAATCAAAACGCAGGGTTTCTCGCAGCAAATCCTCTTTATGCTTCAGGGGTTTTGGGGCAACTGGGTGCTGCTATTGGTGGTGCACAACCCGGGTTAGGTAGTTACTATGGTGGTGCACCCATGGGTGTTGATAATACGTCATTGCTAGGGGCTACTCCCCCAATGCTACAGGGTGTAGGCCTACTAAATGCCTACCCGAAGAAGAAAGTAGGGTCAGCTGCTTTGACTTCAGGTTCAGGTTCAGGTTCAGCTTCAGCTTCGGGTTCCAGGTCTCAAGGTGGTGGTGGTGGCTCTTTCAGTGGTTATCAATCTCACTCGTGGTATGATCTAATGGATTGTTTTTGGTTCTTTTCTGTGTATATTCACTTGAATCTATCTTTATTGTTTTTAGGATGTTTTGTAGTAGTGTTGTTTCATATTGCAGGAGGCAATTCGAATTTAAAATGGATTAAAAATACTCTTTTGGGTTCAAATAGAACATGTGGTCTATAATATATCTTAATCTTAACTCATGCATACAAAAAGTAGTGCATGAAGGATGAGAAAAATGGTTACAACTTACAACTAGGGATCGATTTGAAAGAATGAGTAAGATATTACACTCCATCCAAAAAAAGAAACATTCTTTATTTGTACAGATAGACACTTTATTCATTCATATGTTTTTCCATATTTGAAAGTTGAGTTTTATGTTGGTTTTTTCATGATTTCTTTTTTTAAAGTTGAGATGTTTTGGTAATACTACAATTTTGAAAGTGAAGTCTATTTGTTCTCTTTTTACATGTTGAGTTGTGTATTTGCAGATGAAGTACAGCTGTCATTGAGGTTAATTTTCAGTGAGTATTGAAGAATGAATATGTTTTAAAGGCTTTATTTTCTGTTGGTGGCTATATCTTGGAAGTTGTGCATGTACAAAGATCTTTCCTATTTCAATCATCAAATCCTTCTCATTTTTGCTATTTTCTTTATATATTTTAATAATTTCCTTGTATGGATTTGATGACATTTTATATCCTTCATCCTATTTTACTTTCTTCATAGTTTTCATCAGCAGTATTTTCATTGATTTGCAGTTGTTTTCTTGATTTCAAATGGCTTATACATATATTCCTTCTATGTCTTGAAGATGACATGGTTGATAATTTTTTTATTCTTTATCGTTTCAAGAGTTATATTAATTTATTTTTGTTTTGTTATTTGTGTTGACAGTTCTTTTGTAGTTTTGTAGTTGGTTTTTGAGGCTTTAATTTGCATAAACTTCTTTATTTATATTAACTTTTTTCTGTTTTATGGGGGAGTCAAACAGAATGATACTGATTTATGGTTTTACTTGTTTAAATTGAATGTTTTATGGTTTGTAGTTGGTTTTTGAGGTTTTAATTTGCATATCTTTTTAAATCTGTTTTCAATTGATAAACAGTTGTATAAAGTTTCTTTTGGTATTTTTTGTTCTTTTAAAAATTGTGAATTGGTAGTGTTGTGTTCATACCAAATGGAAGAGCTAAATTTTGTGTAATAGAATATAGATGTATTATTTTTTAATGTAACTTACTCATAGAAGTAAATTATTTAAATTTTTGTATTTATAATAATAACGTATTATATGTCTTGGCTAATAATAGCCATGAAACTTGAGCATATTTCACTGGTTTTAGATGATGACCGTACAGTTTTGGGTAAATAAATGTACCTTTGCTGTCATTATGTGTAAAATTAAACTACATTGTTTAATGTTTATATTGGTGATAATATGGTAAGATAATCTCTGGAAATTGCCTTTATCTTCAGTTCTCCAATTTCATTGTTATTTACTTCTTAAAATTTTATGTGATTAGTAATAGCTTTTAGTGTGAGTAATAAAATACGCAAAACTAAAAGAAGTTGCTAAAGAAGGCAGGGTTTGCCTTTTTGGTTAATCTGTATATGGATGAGCTGATTTTATTTATATTTTTTTCTATAATGAGAAAATAAGGAAAATCAAAATTATTTGGCCAAAATTAGCTCAAATGGGTTAAAAGTCATTAAAAAATTTAGTTTTAGGGATAATGACTTATAAGGCAACATAGTTTTGTTTTTATAAACGTTTAGTCTTTTTCTTTTGTATATATATATATATATATATATATATATATATTATATATATATATATATATATATATATATATGACCATTCAACTTCACAAAATACCATTAGGATTGGTTGATGTATGTTTTCAAGCCAACGCGATTTTCTTTTGTACACATTTAATCACTTGTGTTTTGGGCTATGTATACATTTAGTTACTTATGTTTTGTATTTATACATATTTAATCACTTATGTTTTGTTTAAATTTCATCTTTTTAAAAAATAGCAAAGTTTTTGTTGCTTGTTGGAGGAAATTTAAATTCTCTATCTCTAATTCATCTGAGTTTTATCTCAATGTGGGTTTTATGGATCTGTTTTGGACCTTTGGTTACCATAGACTTTGGAATCTAGCTTGCTTGTTGGAGGAAACTTCTGCAAAAATAAGTGGTAGAATTCATCAATTGGAGGAAACTTCTGCAAAAATAAGTGGTAGAATTCATCAATTAACAATCAAACAAATGAAAAATTATTATTCATAAAAATGAATATCTAAATATTTTGAGCCAAATGAGTTTATTTTGAGCATACAAATGCTAACAGGGTTGCCACTAGCCTTCAACAAATCTTCAAAAAGAATCAAATTCGTTAGGAGTGCATCAGGTAGAGCCTCAAGCTTAGAGATAAGGAATTAACCACTTAATTTCAATCCAACACCAAGTTAGACAACTTCATGTGCCTAAATCTTTTCTCTCTTAGAACAGATATGTTTAAGCGGTTAATAAGTACAAGCCTACTCTCATTTCTAGTTCTAGTTCTAGGATCTGTAAAAAAAAACGAATCATCTATTAACAACTCCCAGACAACATTTGAATAATAAAAACAAACCCTAATTATAAAAATTAATCATATCTTAAATCTGATTCGGATGATGGTCTTTTTGTTCTACCTCTATGAGGATAGGGGTACTTAGATGACCCTCGCCATAATGTGGATATCTGTAGAATGTATAATCATAAACCATGTTCCATTCTTTAAGTTCCCCAAATATCAAGACAACCAGTTCTTCTTCTCCATATAGACTTAGTAATTCAGGGTTTTAGATGACACACATGAACTTTTGTATTTATTATTATTTTTTTTTATTAAATAAAGACATGAATTCGGTTCTTGTAACTTTTGGAAAATCAAACAAATGATAAACATATACACGATGGGTGACTAAATGTATACACAAACAGAAAAAAAATGATTAAATGTATACAAAAACAAAATACAAATAACTAAATGTGTATAAAAGCCAAACATCGAAAAACATATGTTCACCGGCCATAATAATATTTTGTGAACAATCAAAACAAGTTCAGTGACCATATGTATTCATAAAAAAAACATATTTGACTAAACATGTATAAAAGCAAAACTATCTTAATTTTAATGAATATAAGTTCTTAAGTTGTTTTTTATAATACAAATATTTTGAATCTTAGCAATTCCTTTTCTTGGTCATTATTGTAAATGAATAAATTGATAATCTTGGATTCAAATTCAGTGACCCAAAACTAGTTATTGTTTTAACGACCTAACAATATGTTGGAGTATAAGAAGAATATTCTCTAATCTCTGCATGAGCAGCCATAACATCCAATAATATCGGTTTTGGAACAAGATCTAACCTAAAATTGTAGTATACAACATTCTGATTTTCAATCTTTAGTATCTACAAGACTAAACGGAGTGAGGGTGTCAAACCCACTCGCTATGCTCGCCATCGATCCAGGAACACCGCCCCCTAGCTCTCGCCAGGGGGGTCGCTACACATGCCTCGTTACAGATTTGGCGAGAAGAGAGAGAAGGTGAGGGAGGAATTTGATTGGTAAAAAATCCCCCAAATCTCCATCACAAAACCCCACAAAGTCATCTTCATCCAGGTAATCCCGAATTTCAATTACTCAACACTTCGATTACACTTTAATTTGATAGTTTTTGTATGTGGGAAATCATGAACCTTCAGGCGAACCTTGCTTTAACAATGGCAGCCGGGGGATTTAGGGTTTTCAGAAAACGATCAATTGGCACCTCGTTCATCTTCACCAAGAATCAATAACTCGAGGTAATTTCATGTGGTGCTGGAACCAATTGGAAAACGAGTGTGAAGGTGTGGCTGCGGGATTTAGAATTTTCAGAAAAAAAAAACAAAAAAAAGAGAAACATGAAGCTCTAGTTGGTGTGTGAGGCTACCATGATATCAATGGTGAAGGTGAAGGAAGATTGAGAATTAAAAGGAAAAAGAAAAAGAAAACGTTTTGTGTGTATGTGTTGAGCCAAAGAGCACCTGCTGGAGAAGATGGGTCTTGATAGCTTGAGGACTTCATATGGGTTTAATTTGTGATGATATGGGTTTAATTTGTGATGGTGAAAAGTGGAAAAGAAACACTGTGGCGTTAAAAAAATACCGCAAATAGACATAAAATGGGGGTGAATTTCTAAATTTAGTCATAAAACTAGATTTTTCCAGCAATAGACATACATTCCACGGAGGACCCTCCGCGGACCTCTGTGGAGTGACGTCATCTCCGCGGACCACCCGGAAGTCTGATTTTTTAACGTTTAAAAGATTGTTCCGCGCTAGGCCCTCTGCGAATACAATAACACCTCCGCGGAGTGAATTGTTTGGAGGTCATAAATTCCTCTGCGGAGATGGTGACGAGGAGCTCCGCGGAGAGAGTAATGTCTCCGCGGAATGGGTGGTTGGAACGGATTTTAGACGGTTTTTTGATACAAAGTGTTATTTTTCATTTTTTTTAGCTCCATTTGGTCGATAGATCAGTTCTTTTTCATTTGATTTTCAAAAAAAAAATATGAGTTAAGTTATTTTATGTACTGGGGGTTTTTGGCAGATAAGTAATGAGATTAACACCTATGTTAGACCAAAGTTTAACAACTTAGGTTTACTGCTTCCGCCAAATTTTGATCGTCGAATATTGTTTGATTTGGTCAAAAGTAAGGCTAATGTGTTCAATAGTAATATATCATTGTAATTTCAACACCCGGTTCATGGGTATGTTATGAATATTTTAGACGAAGCAGATGTTCATCAACTCAGAAATGTAATTTCTGAAACGAAGGAGATTGTGTATTTGTTTTTAGAGGTGTTTCAGGGATTGGTCGAACAGACAGAAGCGGTTTAGAAAGCTGTACCATACAATGTTGAAAACGTTGTATCTGATAATGTTGAAGAGTGTCCAGAAGAAGAAACTGTGGCAGTGAATACGGTTGAAGAAAAAAATTTATATGAGTTTGGAAGACTGACTGACAAAACTTTGTCAAATGGTGAAGAGTCAAATGAAGGATGGTCAGAAGATGAGTTCACACACGGGAAAAAAGCTTCAGACATATTTTACGGTATGCCTCCCATACCTGATTGTCCTGATCCTATTGTTGAACCCGGACCATTTCACAGGTTAGGTCCAAATGATGATATGTTTGTTCGTCAAACATATGATAACAAACAACAACTAATATTTGCTTTGAGTCTTAAAGCAACCAGAGAAAAGTTTCAGTTTAAGACCAAACATTCTAACAAAAATCGTTATGAGGTATATTGTGAAATTGAGAACTGTAGTTGGCGTTTATATGCAAAACTCCTTGATCCCACTGATGAATTTGAAATCAGGACTTTCAACAACGTGCACACATGTTCGTCATTACAGATACACCCTAATCATAAGCATGCTAATAAAAAAGTGATGGGTACTATATTGCATGAGATTATGGGAAAAACTCATTCCAAGGTTTGGAGGCCTAATGAAATATCAAGGGATTTGAATGCTTTGCTGGAAATCAATGTAGATTACAAACAAGCTTGGCGTGCAAAACAATATGCTATGGAACTGTTGTTGGGATCCTCTGAAGAATATTTTTCCAAACTTCCTATTTATTTTCACAATTTGAAGAGGCATAATCCCGGTACAGTGGCCTATATTCAAACAAATTCTGAAGATTGTTTCGAGTGTTGTTTTTATGCCATTGGGAGCACGGTAAATACAAAAAACTTGTTGTTATTTAATATATAATTTTTTAAACAAACTATAGAGTGTTTATGTGTTCCATTTTAATATATTGCAAATACGAGCGTTCAAACGTTTTTGTCGTAAAGTTGTAATAATGGATGGTGCCCATTTGAAGGGTGATTTTAAGGGAACCAGATTGCATGCAGTAGCTATGGATGGGAACAACCAGATACTGCCCCTTGCGCACGAAGGATGCAAAAAAAAGAGTGGTCTTACTTGGACATGGTTTCTTGAAAAGTTGTATGAATGTGTTGGTGATTGTCAAGAATTGACTTTTGTAACTGATAGGGCCGATGCAATTCGGGTTAGTATTGAAAATGTTTTCCCACATGCTCATCATGGCTTGTGTGCTTTTCATCTACTAGGAAACATAGTACACAGGTTTGGGAAAAATGATAAAACAAAAGTGTTGTTTTGGAGGCTTGTGAAAGCTTACAAAAGAAATGTTTTTGAAGAATTGTGGTATAGATTTAGTTCTACTAGGCCGCAAGTAGCAGCGTATCTAAGTGAAATTCCCCGTGCTAAGTGGA